TCCTGACCACCTCTCCAGCCACTCTGTGCTGGGGGAGGTTTTACTGCAGATTCATGCTATCTGAAAGATCTGTTTCTTGTGTTGGAAGCTTCCTGCTTTTATGATCCTTTTGGTCAGCAGGAGGTCTCACACACACACACACACACACACATGCACACACACACACATGCACACACACACACATGCACACACACACACAATGATGGCAGGGCTTTGAATTTGAGCACTGGCATCTGGCGTCAGCCGTAAAATGAATCCAAACAAGACAAAAGCAGCCTCGGGGCGACACCGTTCTTCAAATCTCAGTGTGTTCTTTCCTGGTCTGCAGTGTGAGGAGGAACCTGCTGTAACACAGCTACCCGTTGACCACAGGAGGGCAATGAAGATATCCACAACTTTATTTTCCACAGTGGATCAAGTGTCAGCTTTTGTTCATTTTTACTGACCGGTAGCGAAACAGTATCGGATCAGTGAAGCAGAGCATAACTGCAGCGTGCTGCTGCTCGTCTTCAGTGACGCGGCATTTTTAGGCGAGCTACTTGCAAACGTGAGTGTGAGCACAGACTTCAGGCTTGAGTAAAACTGAATTCCACCAGCAAGCTCTTCTGTTTTCATCTTCTGCTACACTTAATCAATTCCATTTCTTTACCTCTTCAAAGACAACACATGCTCATACCTGGAAGATCACCTGAGCTGCTCAATAATGAGCACGCTTCTGGGCAATGTTTTAGCAAATATTCAAACTCCAACTCTGCTGCTTTTCTAGGTAGTTGCTGTAATTTGTATTCAGCCAAGGTAATCAATGTTATATCATGGTAAAAATGTACCTTTTATTGTTGGATGCAAACAACCATAAAATAAAACGGTTTGAGAATGAATTTGACGATTAAAAAGAAGGATGCAAGCCTGCAGAAGATAATTCATCATAAAAACTATTTGGGATTTTTGCCTTAATAATTCCATTTTAAATATACTGAACAAACTATTAGAAGCTCCTGACTGCAATAGAGGCATGGATGCACAGAGAAGTCACAAGATGACTTTAACACTGAAGAAAACAAGAACGTTTAATTATTCTCTAGTAATATCAGTGTCTAAGCTGATTTTTGTTGTCTTTATTCCGTGTTAATGAAAGTATTTGGAAGTGTAAGTCATATGGAAAGATGCAAATGTGTGTTTTGTGTCTGTATCATGGTATTTGACTGGTCTTGTATTCAAGCTTGCACACCAGTTGAACAAACTTTGCATCATGTTTCTCTCCCACACTCCGGAGAAACTTTGCATGTTGTTCTGCTGAATGTTAGCAGCCCTTTCCTGTAATTTTGCAATCTTAGTGCAAAATTCAATTGTAGTGTCAGCACCATCTGATCTGAATTTGATGTGACATTACACGTTTCACCTTCCACCCACAACATAGCAACTCCACCTTTATGCAAGTGATGAATATCATTGATCATGTGAGGCATCAGAGAGTTCAGTCAACGTCCAAAAACAACATATTTATGCTAAAAATGTTCATAATACTAAGTCAAAAGTCATCTCCTGCCTTGAGGTTAAATTACCTACATCATTCTCTATGTTGGAGGATATATAATGATAATATCATATTCCCGTGTTTGTCTCCAGTAGCAGGCTACAGTCAGCAGTGAGACACACCCATGCTTTGGTCATGAAGCAGAAATATCAAATTGACTTAATTAACTTATATTCTTGAATTGAATTGAGTCCTTATCCTTGCTTCTAGGTTAGTACTTTTTGATTTTACAGGTATTGTTGCAGAGTCAAACTATGCTGATAGCTCCAGCTGGCAAGCTTTTTGTGTGAGAGTCTATAAACGTATGCAAGTTCAGTAAATATGATAGATGCAAACTTCATTTAATCCACATGTTTGACTCTGATCTTTGGCTGTTAGTTTTGTAATTCTGTCTTGCAAAGTTGCAGCCCTATCATTTTAACTAATCTGCCTATTGAAAAACCAACTTTGTGATGGAAGCCCCTACAGTTTGTGTCTCCAGGCCCATTTTGCACACTCACACATACCCTCACAAGGTGAAGACAATACCAGCCAGTCTACTGCAACAGGCACTGAAGGCACGGAAGATGTTTTATGGCTGATAGCTCGACAACAAAGCTTTGCCCGGAGGCTGGAAGATAAAATTAGGGCAGGGTATACGGTGTCTGAACTGTTCGAGTCTTAGTGAAAGAGTGTGGTGGAAAATCAAATAAACAATGTTAGAAACCTAGTTAACTACAGGACTAATGAATGCTGAAGTTTAATCCTCAGCTCCGCTGTTTTAACAGTGAATTTAACAGCATCACAGGACGGCTCTGTCCAGCATTTTGGTGTGACTGAAAAACCTGAAGTCTTTTAACTGATGTCTCAATAATTTTATATTATAAAACATTTACAGACACCTTGCACTGCTGATTTACTCTACATAGGTGCTACCTGCAGCCCATTATTTTATACCTAACACAAAACTCCACAGCTCCTACACTGGCCTACTTTACTTGTGAAACTAAGCAGCAACAGCAGCAGTAAACTGCATTTGGACTGACAGCACAAGTGAGCGTAGGAGGTGTTGGCGACCTAATAGAGCCCAGTGTGTTTCCACCCTGAGGGCTCAGTCTTAAAGTTAAATCAACATGCTGTGAGTTTTGTTTTATTTCAGCAGCTTTTAAACACTATACAGTTTATTATTTTTTATTTCAGTATTAGGGCGGCATCAAAGACACACCGTTTTCTAAGAAAAAGCAGTTCACATTTTTCTGGTATTTCAACCGAGCAAGCAGCACATCAGCACGCTTTCAGCATTGATTATTTTTAGAAGGAACACCATCCAGCTCTGTGTGTAAGTGGGACGTTTTACAAAAGATGACGCAGGCATCACAGCTAATGATCCCTCCAGCTTGCGCTCTTGCGAAGGCCAATTGGCAGTGTTCACAGGTGGGAAGCTGGGTTTCGTTGTCTTACTGATGGCTGTGGCACCTGCACAGAGCCTTAACAATACTTTCATTCAAGCAATTATCAGAGAGGATCACGCTTTAACAATAGCAGGTACTCCTACACCCAGAAGTTCAGCTACATCTGTGACTTAAGGAGTAAAACACAAAGAGGCCGTTTCCCTTCAGGAAGGGGGGTTAACAGGATAGAATAATGCTTTGATCCAAACTTGTCAGAAAACACCAGATGAGCATTAGTTTAGGTGCTGACTAAATTCTTCATCCCCAAGGGATCGAGCACATGAAGTAAGTAAAGTTTGTTTCGAGGATTTATTCAGTTCTATTTTATTTAATTTATTCAGCAACAACAGCCACCTCAAGGGGCTTTATATAGTATGGTAACGACGGTACAATAGAGCAGGATTACAGGAAGCTTGAGGATTTTGTCTGTGCACATTTGATAGCTGGCTGACTAATGCTTTCTGACATTTTCTGACAATAGATGCTTCTTGATGACTACTTAATGTCATTGCCGGTGTCTCAATTGCATAATTGTAATAAAAAGAGAGCAAAATGATTGGTATTGGATTTGACCTTTCAAGATATACACTTTTACACTCTGAGCCGCCACTTGATGACAGCTTTACAAAAAAAAAGTCAGTATTATGAACTTTTATCTATTCATTTGTCATCAGTTTCAAAGCCCTATTAAAATTCATTTTGCCCAAATGTAAAATTTTTGACCCATTTACTGTAGACCTATTATGCTTTGTCTTTTAATAAACAATATATGCATACTACTCATACTACTAATATACATTCATGTGAAAAGAAAAGGTTTGCAGTCTTGTGAAAAACCTTGTGATTCAATAGGAAGCATAGGAATTTAGAGGGTAATGTGCAGCCAGGGGCTGGTAATCAAATATACTTCAATGACTGATCATCATGTGGAGCAATGTTCTTTGAGCTGATAACACCAAAGCAAAGCTTTTTAGTCATAATTCACACTGCCACATTTGGCAACTGGAAAAAAAGACTTAACAAGTATGACTTGTTCAGAAATGTTGGCAAAAGAAAGTCTCTTCTCTCTACAAAGAACATAACAGCATCTGAACAAATCACAAGATTTCTGGAACTACTGTATGGCTTTTGAGACAGACACGACCAAAAAAGAGATGATAAGCCACAATTCACACTTCCATGTTTTGAGAAAGCCAAACACAACATATCAGCACAAACACCTCTTACCAACTGTCAAGCACAGTAGTGGAGTGGTGATGGTTTGGGTTTGTTTTGCAGTCACTCAGTCAACCATGAACTGTCTATACCAAAGTATTCTACTACTTCCACTTCAGGCTTGAGGACAATGGTCCCAAACACAACAGTAAATCTACAACAACAGAATCATCCAGACTTTAAACTGATTGTAAAGCTGTGTTGGGACCATAAGAGAGCTGTGCTTAAACAAATACCTGCAAGCTTCAATGAACTGAAGCAACATTGTAAAGAAAAGTGGGCCACAATTCCTCCATAACAATGTCAGAGACTGATAAAGTCATACAAAAAACAATTGATTGATGACTGCATATTAAAACCCTTTTTTCACATGACTATATATGTTATACTGTTACAATGGTTGATGCTTAAGTTAAACAAGGCCAAACTCTAAAATAATGAGGTCAGTGTACAAGTGATCCTGATGTGCCACAAGCTCTGTCTTCAGCTGCTCTAAATAGTGTTTCAGACTTTCATTTAAACTCCTTGATCTGTATCATGTCAGTAATCTTGGAGATCCTTCATATGGTTACCCCAGTAACCACTGTTGGGTGTAATGTATTACAAAGTAATACGATACTGTAATCACATTACGTCTTTCAATAACACACTAATGCAGCGTGTTACTGTACCAAATTCCGTAATTCACTAACCTGCAATACCAGCAGAGGGAGATGTTTTATTTCAAGCCAACATTAAAATAATCACAGGAAA